TTGGGTTCCTTTAAATCAGAGCTAGATAAGATTTTAACAACTCTGAGCTATTAGTTAAGTTCTCCCCAAGCGAGCTCGATGGGCTGAATTGCCTCCTCTCATTTGTATAGTTCTTATGTTCTTATGTTCTTAAATGTTAAAGTAAAAAGAGCTCTTGGAATCGGTATGGGCAGTTCTGTATCGGAATCAGATCGGAGCGGAAAAAAATGTGGATGCTCCCATTCCTAGTTTTAAGGCCCTTTTTCCTCCAAAATCTTACGTTAAGTCATCGCCAAAAGTATCATAAATATTTGCTTAGTAGAACAGGTGCTTAAGATTTTTGATGATGGATGAATGTACAGTTCTGTGCAAAAGTCTTAGCCAGTCAACACAATGTTTAAAGCTGTTTGAGTGTTAAATGTTTATTTGCTCAGAACAAAAAGCACATATGCAAATTAACACAATAAAAACTAAAGATTTTTTTCCCAAACCCCCTCTCAGGGGCACCTCAGCCATTCTGTGTATTTGTTACATTTCACCACCAGCTCAGTTTTTAAATGAATTTAAATGGTTAAAAAGTCAATGAGGTATTGATTAGCCACATGAGCCAGGGTAGCGCTCAAGTCAAAAAAAGCATGTGTGTAATGGACGATTGCTGCAAATACTGGGGTAACTTCAGGAGAGGTTTTGGACTGGCTAAGCTCACACAGTTTTACACCGGCCTAAAGATCACTTAAACATAATTTTGTTTGGCTACCTAAGACTTTTGCACAGTCCCGTATATACTGTTGAGATACAAGCAATTCATTTACATCTGTTATAATAGGTTGGAGTCCCAGATGACATCAGATATCCAGAGCATCCTACAGCTCCTACAACGGCAGTCCACCTCCGGACCCCCTGCCTACAGTACAGTTACTGCCAGCCCTGAGTACCACCGGCCCGCCCTCAGGGTCCAGCCCGTCTCAGCCATCAGCACTGACCATAGATTCATAGCCGCCTCATCGCCGGTATCAGACTCACTCATTTCAATTTGAAGGGATGCATATGACGTCATCAAGAACATACCTGACGTTTTTGCTTGTGTGTGGGTGTGTTTTGCAGAGTCCTGAGTTCCTTGACCTCAAACAGTCCCACCAGAAATCCAAAGAATGCTTATTAAGCTTGATCCATAAGGACAGGGCCTCAGAGCAGAACCTGCCGTCCCTGCTGGAGCAGGCTGTGTACTCGGAGCACAGAAACAATCAGAACCAGAACCAAACAGCCTCTCTCAACCAGCACAAGTCCAAATCGCTCCAGCTTCCGACCCACGAGACCTCGCTGGGAGATTCAGCCCTCAGTGACACCAGAATGGTGGGACTCCACAGACCAGTCTCTGACCCTGGTCTTCCTGCTAGTTAGCTTATCTATGTGTATATACCCTCCTGTGTGTCTTTTCCTATGTCTTTCAGCATAACAAATTGAAATCCTCTTAAGTTTGACTCAGGGTAGAGAAACCTACTGTATTGTCATATGCAAAGGAAAAGAGTGATTTTTTTTTTAGATTTCTTAAATGGTGTTTCACCATTGAAATGTAAAAAAAAAAAGTGTATGTATATAAATTATATTTATGATGTACATACATTTACGATGCAACACTGCCATCAACACAATGGACCTTACATGCTCTGTCCAGGAAAGAAATGCATGTTTGAAAGTTTTTTCTCTTGCATGATGTACATATTTAAGACTGGCTATCAGATTTGAAATCGGCATGTCTTTTTTGCACTGAATATTAAGTTACTGAAATACATTTTCATCAGTATGCACTTCTTTTTGATGAAACTATAAATATATTACTTAAACTATGAATTGCATTAGAGTTGCATTAAAAATACATATTTAGCCAATTTAGGCTCCTAAAGACCGTTGCAATATTGTGCCTAAGCCTGGACACATACACTTATGTTAATCTTGCTAAAGAGTCATAAACTATGTAGCTGCAAATTACCGTCCTTACGCCACATTCCAAAGTACAGAATCAGTAAATGTGAATTGCTACATGTATGATGAATCAATATCACAGGAGACACTGACATGTCACTTTTTTCGTTCTTTCTTTTCTTTAAAAACAAAAAACAAAAAAAAAAACAGCATGTTAACTAAGATATCCGTCAGGTTACATTTGAGATTGCACCTTTGTCCAAGGTCTACATGAGCAATAATATCGATTTTTCTTCTTGACAGGAATTAACTGGGGAAATTACCCTAAGAATTTCAGACAATGAGGCATTTATCTTTTCTTTCTCTTGTGGACATTTGCCAAAAATAAGTAAATAGATTCCTTTTTTACTGGTAGAGTTAAAAATGAATAGGATAATCACTGATATCGAGATTAGGTTAATACTTGGAGAATAGCACTTCAGATTTTGCATTATCATTTTAAAGTTTTTTTCATGTAATTGTTATATGAAAAACAAACATTCCACATGTTTCACTCTCCCTTTTTGACAGGGGATGATCTGTACTCTGCAGTATGTTATTTAGTCTGAAATTATTTCATTATGGCTTGCCTGTTTTACTCTTGAATATCGGCATCATACTCGTGCTGATACTTGTAGGCAGAGTGAGGGTACAGTATACTCACACCCTGTAAAATACACTTTGAAATATTTTTTTCTCACTTCCACTTCCCTTTGAGAGGGTGAAAGACGTCTGATTCGGAATTTTAGTATGCCGTTTGTACATTTAGAAAATCCTAAAGTAATGTAAAACAATGAACTATATGCAGAACATTTTTGACAAAGATATGCTTTTTTGAGCCTTTCTGATGGTCCTTGAAGACCTTCGTGATGTGCTATATAAACACACATGTCATCCAACCACAAAGCAGACTGCAGACATACATTTGAATATATTTTAACATATAAATATATGTAACATAAGTGCTCATGTCATCCTCAACTTAGTAGATATATCATGAGAGTTATCGTACATAATATTTATACCTTTCTCCAGCATATTTGTATTTTCCCTGCTGTTTTATCACATTGATAATGCTATTGTTATATACTGACTTGGTATTATTGATAGTCGCATGTCCTTGCCTTCTTTGTCCTGTAGGGGGCATGATGTCCCCAGCCTTTAACACCACCCGCAGTACTTTGGATTGGGAGTTTTTGTCCATCTAAAGGTTAACGGCAGTTTTGAAATTCACTGTCTGAAATGGACATCATGCGGTGAATTTTTTCAAAGCGAAAGAATTTGAGACAAGAAAAACAGACTGAAACTTCTGCCACATGGTACTTACATTAACCAACCCAACTCATTTGCACTCTCACAGAGGACGGGAAGAGAGTGTCTCATTTCTAGAAATTACTTGAATCTAATGGCTGAACAATCCATAAAAAAGACTCATTACCATAGCAGAAAATGCCCAGAAAGTCTTGTCATAGTCGCAGGGGCATGAAAAGTCTGAATCTGCCTGATACAATGGCAGTTCAGTTCGGTCAGAGTTCTACAGGCATGACAATTTGAACCTAGTCATTTTGATACGTGGTTTTATAGTGACTAGGGCCTCCTAAATTCGTCACCTGTATTTCTCCCATCATTAATTGAACTGACCTTTTCAGCCGTCACTTATTGAAAATTTATGATGGTACATAAAGTTGTATATAAATTTGAAGCTGGAAGTATTTTAAAAAATATCTAAACTTCGATATTAAGAACATTCTACATGAAATATCAGTATGGGTCTGGTACCTGCACTATTTATATGTATTAAGCTATGCAGTGTTTCCCAATTCGGTCCTCGGGGACTGTCTGGGAGGGAGCAAAAATGTGGACTGTCTGGCAGGGAGCTGGGAGGGAGCAAAAACGTGGA